AGATAACTGTGGTGTAGCAGTTTAGCTGTGGTGTAGCAGGAGGAGCTTAACTGTCGTGTAGCTGTGGTGTAGTTGTGGTGTAGCAGGAATAGGACCATAACCAATAAGGTCCTATTCCTCCTCTCTGAAACACCATTTAGTTGTGGTGTAGCAGGAGGAGCTAACTGTGATACTATCACATTGACCTTTAAGTAGTCCCTGAATTCGTCAAAGAGATACTCGCCACCTCGATCCGATCAAAGGGTCTTAATTTCTCTCCCTAACTGCTTCTCGACCTCTTGTCTGAACTCTTTGAACTTTTCAAATGATTCAGACTTGTGTCTCATTAGGTACACGTAACCATAACGAGAATAATCATCGGTGAATGTAATAAAATACACGTGCTGGTTACGAGTACTAACACTCAGGGGACCACATACATCAATATGTATAAGGTCAAACGTGCTTGTACATCTTTCAAGTTTACCGCTAAATGGTCGTTTTGTCATTTTACCCTGAAGGCAAGGTTCACAAGTGGAAAGATCTTCTATAGTTAGAAAATCCAAAGGACCATCATTTACCAACATTGTGATACGATCTATGTTAATATGGCCAAGTTGGTAAGGCCACAGGCACATGGGGTTAACAGTATCATGGGTTCTTTTCTTGCGGATATTATCCGACATAGTTTTGGCTATGTTAGTTTCCAGAGAAGGATGAAGAACATAGAGCCCATTCTCAAGTTCTCCGTATGCGATGAACTTGTTATTTCTTTTAATAGTAATCGTATTAACAAAAAGAATAGAATATCCATCTGCACACAATTTTGAAACAGAAATCAAATTTCTTCTCAAATTTTGTACATAAAGACAATCTTTCAATACAATTGATCCTTCTCTGAAAAATAACTCTACGGTTCCTATAGTCATAGCTGCAACACTTGTAGAAGCCCCCAAGTAAAGAGTTACTTCTCCGTCACTCAGTCTTCTGCTTATCCTAAACCCTTGCAGTGAGTTACACGCATGAGTTGATGCCCCGGAGTCAATACACCAGGAAGCAAAAGTTACCAACAAATTGGTTTCTATGACACAGGATTCGAAATTACCTTTCTTGGATTTCAGGTACTGAGGATAGTTCATCTTCTACTTCTTGGACTTGGTGGCTTTATTCTATGGCTTCTTCTTTGCCTTCCTTTTTTTCTTGCCCGACTTGCTAGTTTCAACAAGCATAGCAAGAGGCTCATCCTTCTTAATCAGTTCTTTGGCCCACTGCAACATATTGTTGAGTTCCTGAATGCTGACATTCAGCTTGTTCATGTTGTAATTCATGATGGACGGATTGAAGGAAGGAGGCAAAGAATTTAGTATGGTGTCTACCTTAGTGACAAGGTCCAGCCTAGATCTAAGAGCCTCAAGTTCATTGATATATCCCATCATCCAAAGACAATGGTCATGAACTTGTTGGCCTTTGGACATTTGTGCGGTCATGAACTGTTTCAAGACCTTTTCCCGAGTAGAACGGTTCTGTTCTTCGTACATTGTCTTTATACTATCCAATATGTCCTTGGCCAGCTCGATCTGATTGAATTGCCTCTGTATCGGATTGTCCAGGGAGGCAATGATATAGCACCGGGCCAGGGAATTTTTCTCTTCCCACTCTTGGTAGTCCCTCCTACGGGCCTCTGAAGCCCTATCTCCCGGACGCTCCGGGGCAGGGTTTTTAGCCACCTTGTCCAACTTCTCAGAAGTCAGGACCAGTATAAGGTTACAGTACCAATCAGCATAGTTTGGTCCTTTAAGTTTGTTGTCATCCAACAACTTTGCAAATTGTCCGTTTGCCATTTCTAATAAAAAGCAAACATTAGTCCACAACCTAATTTGATTCATGTTATCTACATAGACATGGCTTTTAATCTATGTTCCATTTCCATTTGTTCATCTCCGAGATTTCCCTCCTATCTTAGTGACGAATACAGCGAATTATCTCTGGAAATGTGGGAAATCACATAAGCTACATGGAGCCAACTATTTCAGCTGCATAACCCCACCACCTTTCTGTGAAGGATCATATCCACTCATCATATGAGCTTTCCCTTTGGCCTCTGTCAAACAAGGTTCATTGCCATTTTAGGATAAACATTTTTGTCCAGTGAGTGCTCACCCATCATATTCGTGAATGTCAAGGTACCGTGAAAGAGTCTTCCATTTTAGGATAGGCCCCTCCCACATCGGTCTATGAYGCCCCTATCATCTTATGAAACATTCCAACAGATCCAACAGCCAATGGATAGCCCAATTTTATGGTGTGTTTCCTTATTACTGAAGGACCCATCTTTAGGCTAATGATGGAAGGCCTTTAGAGAGTTCATCATATGAATCTCCCTATCACATGCACTCATATTTCATGAGGGAACAAAGTTATTACGCCCTATTTTAATTTAGGTCAAACCAAAGTGGTTCCCACTAACTTTCATAAAGCCAGATTTCAGTGGGCCCTAAACGGCTAGGGTTCCACACGGATCCTCTTCAGGGAGGTGGGGGATCCACCACAAAGGGAGATCATCCTATGATCTTTAGGGACACCATGGCAATGATGTGCATTCAGCCATGGTGTGCGCAAGAGCCATTATCGTATCAACATGGGCCAAGTACTTATGGCCCATGAACGTTGCACATCACACATCCATACATCACATGCAATGATAGAATTGATCCAATCAATTAATATCTGTAAAGCCCATTATTAAAGCCCAATTTAATCCATAATATTACTGATTAATATCATCTAGGTATATGGGTTGAATAGCATTAAGCAGTTCGGCCCATATAGCTTTTCTGCAGTTAGTGGGCTTAAGCAGTTTTAACATTTAAAACCGGGCCTTACAGGTGTGGGCCGAATTAAGTCTCACAATTAAGCATCAATCCCTTGACCCAAAATTGGAAATTAGGGCTGAGAACAGCCCCCATTGAACCACATATTCGGTCCAACCAGTTTGGTCCAATCTAGTTCGAATGGGTCTAGGGTTTGATTTTTAATTCAAGAATTAATTCAAGAAAACGATCTGAAATTAATTACTGATCAAAGACAATCAAAAATCAGTAACAGGGTTGTTCGCACATCTCCCAACCTTCAAAACAGATGTTAGATCACAGTTTGCAGTTTCATAAACTATAAATCGCAGATAGCGATTTCCTTATATGCGAAATCTCCTTCTCTTGCGCAGCCAGCTTCGATTTTGAAATAAAATAAATAGAAAAACCCTAATTTTCTATTAATATTACATCAAATCGAATTCCTATACATTCAGTCTAAAAATTAAAAAAAAAATAATTACGGACCAGAAAGTAAAAGTCTGCAAATCGCAGATATCCTGCACCAATAAAGAGTTCGATCTCCTTTGTACAAACAACCCATAAATCAAGAAAATTATAAAGAACAATTCTAAATATATTTCAGATTTATAAAGAATTAATTTAAGATCATTCACCCTTGATTTGGGAAACAATTTCCCAGAAAAACCATAATCTGCGCAAATCGAGTAGAACGCCTTTTGCCAATTTGCACAGGTTCAGATCTGATCTATTTCGGTTCAAGATTCGAACCATGGCTTTGATACCACTGAAGGGATGAGAGATCCATCATATGGATAACCGAACCCTGTAGGTAGGTAGGGCGAAATTTGCTGATCCAAAACCCAGATCCGCACCTCTTTAATTAATCTAATTAAACCAGTTCGAATTGGGCTTTAGGCCCATTAAGTCCATGTGCTCATTCGGCCTCCAAACTGCTGTCCAATTGGGCTTCCTTGTATGGCGTGGGACCCAAACATTGATCTACACATCAGCCACATGGGTTCAGCCTAGCCTTTGTTACAAGGCCTGGCCGAATTCACTGTAATGGACAGTGAACCCCTGAGTCCATCACCATGGGCTCTTAATGGGCCCAACACTTACACTAAGTGGTCCCTGGGCCAAGCCACCTTATAAAAACCC